AAAAAAAAAAAAAAAAGAGAGTAATCTTGGAATTCCTTTTGGATTATTTATCTTTGTTTTGGGTTGTTTTTTGAGACAGAGTCTCACTGTATAGCCCTGGCAGGCCTCCAACTCATTACCTCCACTTCCCAAGTGCTAGGATTAAAGGAGTACACCACCAAGCCTTAATCTTGGAATTCTTTTGAATGATTTCCTATTAAAAATAAATTCAAATCCTTCTTGTTTCTGTGATTTTTTTTCAATACACTTCTAAAGTCAGGTACTGGAAAGTCTAATGATTATAAGACCACAGGGCCACCAGAGACACCACAGCCACCCAAGGCACCAAATCTAGATCTAGCCTGTTCTAGAGCATGTTGTATGCCTTCTTATCTCCAAAGAACCAGAACAAAAGAAAACTCAATCTATCCTGTCAGAAGCCAAGTGGGATCTATGCTAGCCACTCACTACTTATCTCTAGGTAGGTGAAAAGTTTCAGTCACAAGTTTTAAACATCAACTGACTTGAGACTCTTTCTTTCTTTCTTTCTTTTTTAAAACAGTGCCAATGGATTCTCTAATCCAAGAGCTCAGGTAAGATCTTCCCTACATTACTTTTTCAAATAATTGATTGATCTTGATTGGTTTAGAGTGAATCGCCCTTCTCTAGCAGCAGAATCCTTGATTTTGAGTGAGGACTAAGCAAAGTAACAATATCACTTCAGCTCTTTCTAAATACCAAGGAAGCAGAGAAAAGGAACCACTGTCCTGACAGTGGGTCCCAAATGATTTGGTCTAATACTGTGATAAAAACACACCACTTTTGCCATAATGTTGGTAATGGCCTGCTCTTCTTCATGAGCTGCATCTTGCCATACACCCTGCAAGGCTGAATTTTGCACTGATGATCCATGAACATGATTAATGGCTCCCCTAAATTCTAAGATGCCCAGTTTTTGTTTTAAATGATTAGATAATTCCATCAGGTAGCTACTTACTTTTTTAGCCTGCATAGTAAAAGATAAAGTGACAGTTTTTTGAGTGGGTCCTTATTTTTATATTTTAGATACTATAACTTAGTATTTTGAAATTTCTACCTTATTAGTTGATGAAGAATATGTTCCATTTGGATTTTCTTTCACAGAATATTTGTCAAAGTATAATTTTTAAAGTAAATAACAAAAGAGAAAGATAGTCCTTTGGCAGGGGGAACACATGCTGTGACATATTTTCTGTGAGAAACAAGATTGTTGTTTTGAGTCCAGAAAACCCCCAACCCACTGCTTCATCTGCCTTCTGAACTCTGCAATCTCTGTATGCACTTTTCAGGGGAGTGTTTGAAAAGAGGGCATGTGAGCATGTCTGGCCTACTTGGACTGTAGCGGGATGCACTGATAAGATGCACAGTGTATTCCAGGCACGGTGCTTGACTATCTTATTACTTCCTGCTTATACATGATTCATTCTGTGCCAGTGTCAGTTCACATGCCCATTTGACCAATTAGAATCCTGCTATACTTCTTTATGAAAGTCTGCTAGTAAGAAATCTCTGCACCTGTCTGGGTCGATGATGTCATCATTAAGAATTTAAATGCTTAGACTAGTTTGATCAGAACAAAGCATATGATACACATTTGGACATGATAAAAGCCTAGAATTGATTGCTTCTCAAACTTTTGGCTAAGATCAAGTATTAATGCATGAAATTGCTTGACTTAATTAAATTTTTGCCTTTTAAGTCTACTCATTTAAAATGCCTGTGTTTTTTGAGACTGTACCTTAAAATGATCAAGGGCTAAAAGTGTTTGAAATGTTTGCAGTTTCGTGGAGTGAGTTTCTAGTGGTTCACTCCTGAGGTGGTGTGCTTGTGACCACATGGCTGGCTCACTGTGGAAGTAACCACAATCTCTGTAAGGAATCAAATCACTCTCAGGGAGAAAGGAGACCTTATAATGATGGATCTTGGGAAAAAAAACACTAAAAAGAAAGAACTTTTTTTTTTGGTCTTTTTGAGACAAGGTCTCCCTGTAGCCCCAGCTGTCCTGGAACTCACTATGTAGACTAGGCTGGCCTTGAACTCACAGAGATCCACTTGCCTCTGCCTCCCGAGTGCTGGGATTAAAGGTGTGGGCCACCACACCCAGCTCAAAAGAAAGAACTTTTAAGGAACTGATGTGAATGCATTGTCCTAAAATAGCTCAGAGGTAGCAATGCATTAAATTAAAGAAAGAAGCAAAATGTAGGAAAAATATTTTTCCCTTGTGAGAAAAAAATACCATTTAAATATGCTATTAGCATGAAACTATAATAAAGGTAGTATTTGTTGAAGTCTTATGTAGCAGATATTGTTAACTTTATCATCCAATTACCTTATTTAATCCTCATAGAAACCTTATAAGGCAGAAACTATGATAGTTGCAGTTTTTGGAGAAATATGTGGAGATTAGTAGCTTATGTGACTATTCCAAGGCTACACAACTGATAAATCACCCAAACTTCTGACTTTCAGGCCAGCTTCTCTTGGTTGGGCTGTGTACTCTCTCACTCACAATTAATACTATGTGGAATGTAAATCACAAAGAAATTGTCTACTGCCTATGTCCTAGATAACCTGAACTTCCAGTTCCACAGTTAGCCCTGGGCTTGATCTGTAACAGCCTATTTTTGGATCAAGAATATATTTCATTAATGATGATGCTTCCTAGCCTCCTAATTCTCTAAAAATCTTTTTTGTCAAATATTCCATTTTACCTAATTTGTTAATAGAGTAATTCAGAAAGATGATGATAATGGCTAAGGAAATTCACAAACAAATTTTCCTGTTTTCTTTAATAAGAACCAGTTGTAGAAATTTAGAGCTGATCATTTTTAAATTTTGTAATTGTTTTTATTCAGCAGGACAATAATTCATGGACCCTTATTATCAGTCTATATACATCTTGTGGAGCAAGTAATGATATATACAAAAATTTGTATTTTTCATGTCTTTTGAGTTTTGTGTAATTTTGTATGGCTTTGTCCAAATCCCTATACTTGCTTCTGTGGTTTACTCCATGGGTTTGTTGTGGTCCAGAACCACAACCATGTGTCTGGATCCAAAGTATCCTTAGGAAATGTGGCATGTGCTCGCTAGCATAGAAATTATTATTGTTTTGCAGAGAACACTGGCAACTTTATATAGTTCCTTTTAGAATGCATGGGGCATGTTATTGCTTCCAGAGAAACTACTTACAAAAAATAGTAATACAAATGAATCTAATTTAAATACACTGTATATTGTTCATGGCACTAATAAAAATTGATACTGACATTCTCATCTTCTTATTATCCTCTATGTCAGCTACTATCATCACCATTAAAAAAGCAATTTATAACCACAGGCCCACCTTTAATCATATTCCTTATTAGCATTTCCAGTTTTCCTCTAACACATTCAGGTTACAGGTGGTGTCGAAAGCTCTCACGTCTTTCTAAATCATGACCACTGCATTATCTCTGTTCTCTTGTTATTATTGTTATCCTTAATCTGTACTTTGTGCTATTGCATCTACTAATATTGGTAATTGTTTCATGCATTGGCAAAGTGTTTTACACTGGTCCATCCTTTCCTCTAATTAGGAAAATATATTCTTGCCTCTGAAATGGCTTTCCTATGTGACTCCTTAGAAAGACAAATGAATACAAGGTCCTTAAGTGCATTAGAATCAAATCTTACTTTCCTGTGATTTATTGTTTCTCAGCAATTTTTTGGCTTAAGTGTTATAATGAAATTTTTATTTTGATACCTCTACTTATTTCATTTCAATTTTTACTTCACTTAAAACCCCACCATTTGACATTTTATTGTAAATTGCTAAGTATTTTATGAACTCTCTAATCAATAAGTTGTAGAGCTAATGTTTCATAGATAAGTGAAAAATTTTGTGACTTACAAAGTTAGATGGGTTTCTGATTTTTCTTCTGTATTATTTAATTTGCTACATGGAGCATTTTATTTTAATACTTAATGCCTTCCATTGTTTATGAACTAAAACTTCCATTAGTAGTCATGATTGTATTAGAACTGGGTGAAGATTTCTAAAGGTAACAACTAAAGGAAAAAATGAACAGAAAATTATTTCTAAGAATAAGTATTCCATAAAGCCATTAGCTTTATTTGGGAGTTTGGATAATAGAGCAGAAAACCCCTCTTCTTTCCTTTTATCACACTTTCCAAGTGTGGTGTTTACTGCGTGCTTTGGATATTTAGAAGGACATTAAGTATCTACATGTTAGAAATACATCATTCTAAATTTTATGTCCAAACCTGTAAATTAGAGTACAAGAAATAACACTTGAAGAGAATACATTTGTCCTATAAGCCACCTTGAGGGGGAAGCAAAACAGAAGAAGCTGGTGGAATGAATGTGATCTAGAAGAACAGTGTCCATCCTGGAAGGGAGGCAGCCACGGTGGGTCAGCCACTTCCTTCTGCTTCCTCATCCATGCTCTGCCTATTGATAAGGCACAGTGTTAATATACAGTTCAGAGTTCTCCAACAGAAACATTCCAAGTGATTGTTTTATGTTAACTGCGCTGTATTTACTAGGTAAAAAAAGAATCTTAAAATATATCAAGGAAGCTTTTTACAGGAGTGAAAATAAAAAGGAGTTTGTTGTTTAACAAGAAAACTCAGTGAATACTATCATGTATTTGTGTATTTGCATAATATCTGATGACATTTAGCATTGAACTTACTGTTGAATGGCCTCTGAATATGTGCACATTGATTGAATGAGTTCTTGAAACAATATATACAATATCTAAGTGGATCTACACAACAAGTTTGTAAAGCAGCCAGGACAAATGACAGTAAATGCATTTATCTCTTGAGCCGAATCCAGACATATAAAGTGCTTAAAGCACAATCTGACTGAGAAGCAGGGGACTCCTAGGCAAGACTTAGGTCCTGTATGTGGACCATACCTCCTGTATCCACAGTGTACTGTCCACTGTTACTGTAGTCCTAAGCATGCCATTTTACCATCTTTATTTGGGGCAAGATAGTAACTTAAACTTTAATCAGTAAATAAATAAACCAGAGAGCTACAAACAAGCCCTATTACATTTTCTTCATTCCCTGCAACAGCAATTAAATATTATCCACTGCCTTTACTTCTAACTTGTTTTCCATGACCTGACTGTGATTTTGAGTCTACATGGAAATGTGAAGAAATGACAGTATCTGTCTTATGTATGTATTGATTTCCTTTCAAAGTGCCACCTCCTAGTTGGTGAGCTATCAAGGGCTTTGCTCTTCTTCTGATTTTGCTTTGTGGGAGAGGTGAGTCCTTTCACCTCCACTGAGGCCCATAACAGTCACTGCGAAATGGGCTAGCCATGAAGCGGAATCCTTCTAGTACCCTTAACTCACAACACAGACTGATCCAGTTATCTGTGGGTCCTGTGTCCTCAGTTTAGCCATGAGTGCTAAGTATTTTCAAGACTGTGAGAGGTACTGAGCATGTGCAGGAGGTATTAGGAGATGACCTCAACTGTCTAGCAGGGTGTATATAGGCTATATGCAAACACCATACCATTTCAAACAAGGAACT